GATTTACAACCACACACAGAAGTGGGAAAATGAAAATCTGCTACGTGAGAATATTAGATGTCAGATGTGATTTGTGTTGTAATAAAAAAAAGTTCACTAAGAGTCTCATAAGAGCAAAAGGGGGAAAAACAGATTTGAAACCCTTTTCTCTGCAGTCTGAATTCAGCCACAGACATTTGAATTTTGAGGTGAAGGTGTCAGTGGTGTCAAGCTGATTATATTTTTTTTTAACAGCGCTGCAGTTTGAGTTGTCTGCTGCAGTGTCTTTGAGCTAGAAACCTTAAGGCTGCTATTACAGTGACCCTGCTCTGATATGCTGCAGTCAGTGCTGGTTAGAGAAAGAATCAGTTAGGATGCCTCCAAAAGCCTAGTTCCTATGTGGTTATGAAAATGACTGTCGTCTTCAAAAGAGTTTTACAATGACCTGTTAAACAGTTACTGTGCAGTATTTCATCAACTTACATTCCTCCTTAATACCCTCCTGCTGAAGCCTCGGCACTGCAGCAACGTGCAAATGTAGATTAATTACACTTGACTTGTTTGCACAGGATATGCATAAGCATCACATAAGTCTCGTTAATGTGTTCATTCATAGCATGTGCTGACATATATGGGTGAAGTGTGTGGACAATAACATCCGTGTCTTCACAGTTTAAAAAAATGTTACTCTGTACTTCCTGTGACTCACTTTCTGCTTTGGAATTTACAAAGAAGAAAACGTGTCTCCTCCGATTGTTAGTAATGGGTAGCTGGATACCACTCAGTTCTTCTGGTAAGACTCATTCAGACGAAGATGAGTGAGCGCAGGGTTTGACATGACAAGAAGAGGTTGGCAAAGAGGGTTTTTTTTTTTAATGTAGGATGCACTTTTCTGTGAACACAGAATTAAGGAACTGTCTGGGTTTTTTTTTTTTTTGCTTAAGACTTTTATAGTGCGTGTTTGTGTGCGTGCATGTAAGAGAGAGTGAGTTTGTAGGCAGGTGTGGCCTGTGCAAATTCCAGGCTAATGATAGGCTTACAGAATCTGACAGCCCAGTCAACAGTCTGTCTTTGACCCACAACCACTAAATGACAACACGCGAGATTACTGAAAAGATGGGAAGGTATAAAGTGTGTGTGTAGGGGTGGGTGGGGGGTGTTTCTTATAGGCTGCCTGGTTTTTATAAGACTGTCACTTGAGCGAGGGACTAGAAAGGGGTGGGAAAGAAAGGGAGGAGAAAGGCAGGAGGTTTTGGGAAAGAAGGGTAGACACGCTTGCATACTGACAGCTTGTTGGCAGCGTGCTTCTTCCCTCCTCCTCTCCTTCCCTCTCTCTGTGCGTCACCGTCAGACATAAGAGTGGTGGAGGCAGGAAGCTGGAGTTGAATCTGAAGTCTTCTCTGGATGAAACTTGCAGCACTGACAAGGTTACAGAGAAAACCAGACAGGGGAACATTCAGAGCGTAACAGAGGGTACAGTGCGAGATACTGGAAAGATCCCGAGATAACAGCAGAGACTAAACACCTCACACGAACGGTTCACGCATCAGGCTTCTTTGATGAACTCGGCGGCGATGCTGGTCTTCAAGTCCTGTCTTGGAAAGCTGGTATGAGTGGATGTGTGTTTGTGTGTGTGTGTCAGAGAGGGCAATGAGTGGGACTTTGTGGCTGTTTTGTGTGTGGTTTTATTTCGGTTTGCATGGCAGCACCAATAGAAACATTTTTCTTAAGTTAACTTTGTGTGGAGGCTCCAAAAAAGCCTTTTGGACACTACACCTTTGTGTGTCCTGCGTTCCAGTCTTCATAGGAGGTTTTGTGTTTGTATAGTTGTGCTTTTTTTTTCTGCCACAACTTAATCATTCATTTATCCATGAAGTCTATCTTTTTTTTTTTGTGTGAAACATTTGGATTATTTGAAAAAATCCCTACTACAAATCGAAGTATATGTATATGGATTTGGTAAATGGAGATGTAATGTTTGATTGTTTGTGATTGCTTAGAAACCCGACACGAGAAGTTCGAGAGGTAGTCTGGACAGAGAAGACAGTGGACTCCAGCCACCAGTAAGTTCCTTCTTCTTCTTCAGGTTTCTCATTAGTTAGTTATACCCATTCACATCAGGACAATAACTCACAGACATTCCTACAGGTGCAAGTTGAACTGTCTCAGTTTGTTTCTTTCTAAACTTTCACTGTCCAAATCATGTCCAATTTGCTGTCCCCGCCACTTTATGAATGGGAAGTTATTTTCCTGAAGTGTTTGTGTTTTTAACCACGGAGGATGTCTGATGAAGACGAATGTTGACGGACGTCCGTGTTATGGTCAGACTCACTGCTGCGGCGTGTGTTTGTTTTCATTTCAACTGACTGACTCAGGGACAGGAAGTGACATGTTGAGGGTAAAGTCAGCAATGTGGGGTCAGTAGTTTCTCACAGCGTAACTGGATATTAATGGAAGGGTGTTGCACTCAGTCCCAGAGTGTCCTAGTGGCCGATTTTAGTGATTGTCCATCTGTAAATAAATACTTTAGAGTGTGAGAACTTTACTGGTAAAGGATGTAAGATCTGGGCACTGCTGGCAGCCCTTTGGTTGCACACAAAACACAGAGAGTTGCTGAGATATTTGCATCTTGCAACTTCTCCCCTTTCCCCCTGTTGTAATATCTAGTGTGTGTGTGCGTGTGTGTAACTGTATCCCAAAGCTGGAATCTCTGCAGCTGAACGCAGAGTTGCATGTTGATGTTATTTCCCCAATGCCAGCAGAAGTTGTTTCAGCAGTCTGAAGTTGCCATGAGTTAGATATTTCCGTCTCTGTAATTCATCTCACTGCTTGTCCTCCTCCTCCTCCCATTGAATGGTTGTGGTTTGTGGTGGGAAAATCTCCCTCGTTCATGTGTGTGTGTGTGTGTGTGTGTGTGTGTGTGTGTGTGTGTGTGTGTGTGTGTGTGTGTGTGTGTGTGTGCCTTGGTGGAGTATTTTTGGGTGTTGGTGGTTGTCAGACCACAACACAATGATGGCACCATGGCTTTTGAGTCCTTCTGTACTGTTTTCTCACACACACAAAACAACAGGGATGCAGTAAAAATACAATAAATTTAAATATGTAACATTCCTGGCATTTTATTCTCACGACCATCACATCATGTAAACATGCTGCAGTTTTAAAATGCTAGCTCTAACAAAAGAAACACTTTGTTTTGTCATCCTTTTCCTGTCAAACAGAATATTTTTGTTACCATAAGTTACCCAACGCAGGACCACACAGCACAAAATAACAGGCACAGCTTCTCTGCCGCAAATGACTGTGAGCTAGCTGTGTGCGAGCTGAGGCTGGGTGTCACATGACAAAGTAAATTGGATTCTGTGCTGAGGCCGCTGGTGGTTTAAAGCTGTGAAGTTCTAATTTCCGGCAAAGCTTCTGATTATGTCTGCGTCTGTGCAATCGCTAACCCAGTGCTTTGTTTTGTTGTTTGTTTGTTTGCACAGACAGGAAACCAGCACATATACCAGCCCGTTGGCAAACCAGGTAATAGATGGGGCCTCAACTCCGCCACAATTACAGGAGGGCAACCACTATTGTTATATGCTGTCTTCTCTTTCTCCCAAGATATGTAACTTACACATATACCATCACACAGTTTCTGAGGTCAGCGTCTGTCTGCAGGGTTTAGTCTGTGGTCACAGTAAGACAGATCCAGCTGTGAACCTGCTGGCCTGCTAGTGAGAACACCAACCTCTGGTTATATGGACTCAAACAGCATGTCATGTTCAGTATGTTCAGTGCTCGGAGCGTAAATATACAGAGAAAACAGAAACGTATAGTAGCCAGTTGGGGGATGATTTTCCAGGATGGAATATCGTTTTTGTCCATTAAACGTTTCCTGATTCCTGATAAATAATAATGTAGAAGAAGAGAGACGTTTCATACTTGAAACAGTTTGTGGGAGACTTTATAAATCAATCAAAACTTTATTCATACGACAATTTTAATCCCACTTTGCAATTGAATGTTCTTTACAGAACATCATCAAATGCAGAAGAGAAAAAGAGGCTAAAAGGTGTGAAAAGAAGTAGAAAGCATAGATACAATTCAAATAAAAACCAAATCTTAAGAGGTGACGCTTTGTTTGGCAAAAATTAGGCTGGAGTTAATTATAATCTGTGTTATAATCTGAGCTGCTACGAAACCAAAGTAAGCATCTGCCCACACTTCTTAGGAATAAATTGTGAGTAGAAATATTTTTGTACTTCACACGTTGTCGTATGTTGTTTCCTGCAGAGCATGTGGCCCCACCAAAGAAACCCCCTCGACCTGGGGCCCAGTGCCAAGTAAGCAGCCTGGCCTGTCTAAATACTGGAGACAGTTACAATGATGGAGTCAAGGTACACACACACACACACACACACACGTGCACGAACGCACACGCTCCGAAGCAAAAGTACAAGCAGAAATACACACTGAATGAATGAATGAATGAAATGCTCCTCCAGGAGCACATGGAGGGACACATTTACCGAGTGGACACAGTGCATGTTTTGAATGCTTGGAGCATTAATATTTATCCTTGTATCTTCTTTCCTTTGGCTGCTCCGTCTCTCTCTCCCCTCACCCCCATTCTTCTCCGGCACTCTGCCTTACTGTTGACCCCTAGCCCTGGCGGGTAAGCAGCACACCGTCTGTGTGTGTTTACTGTGCGTCTTGTCTCCTGTTCCATATTGTTGTCCTACTCCTCCATCAGCCCTTTGATTTCTTTGTCCAACAAATCACATTCTGTTGTAGTATTAACTTCATCTCTGCACTTCCCCTTGTCTGTTTTTCCTGCTTATATTGTCTTCTCTCCTTTTCTCAGATATAAGTGCTTTTAACTTTTATAGATTTTTTTTTATTTACTTGAGCACTAATTATATGCTTCTCTTTGTAACTAGTAGACAAGTGAGTCTTTAATAAGATTTAATCTTTTTTTCTTCCCCGGTTAAGAATTAAAAGGTTTTCCTCATCCTAATAAAATAGGGTCATATTTTTTACAGATTATAAAGCAGCTAGTTTTCAAATGCTTATTTTTTCTAGATAAATGCTTCAAGTGGTTTCAGTAGGTCATTCTGTGCACAGCGTTGTATTGTTTTCACTGTAGGCGGTGATTCACTGATTACCCAGAATTCAGTAAGGACTGGAAAAGCGAGGGCGTGAAGGGAGATGCAGAAAAAATGTGCAAAATGAAGTGAAATTGCAAAGAGGATAAGAGTTTATGCATGCATGCATGCATGCATGACTGCAGGGGAGAGAAAGTCTTTGTATTCAAGATGTGGGAAGTATACCTGCAGGTAGTGGTCAGGTGATGTCACTGAGGAAGAGAGATGGTGAAGGAAATGGAAAGACAGAAATGAGAAAGCGCTTTATGTTAGTGCAAGATGATGATTGGTTTATAGGGCAGGTTCAGGAAGATGTGACCTCCTACGGGGAATCTGTATTTAATTAAAATCCTCAACTGATAGGTTTACGGCACAGGTTATGGCAGTGTGACACTGCCATCTAGTGGCCAGAGAATACCTCTACATTTAGACAGTGTATCTCATATTCAAAGTGCTGGTGTTGTTCCTGGATCATCATAATTAATGTTGGCCCAGGTTCAACATTGCAAGTGACCAATCAAATTGTTACGATGTCATCGTCGACATGGAAACAAGACTTGCTGATGCCCACTCAGGAAAAAGTGCAAATAAGTGGGTGGACAGGGTCAGGGTTAGGGCTATGGGGCTATGGTTACGGTGTTAGGGTTAGGGTCGATGGTGTGATGGTGTTTCCATGTCACAAAACAGGCATCACAACCTGGGTATATCAGATGCACTGTCTTAACATAAGTAGAAACATAATAGATATTGATTCACTCATTAATCTACTTGTTTAACTCTCTTGATTATTATTATTTTACTTTGGACCTTTAAATGTATCTAGTGTGTAAGGCGGATGAACGTCTTTACAATCTAGCAGGATATGTGGAGGTAAATGTTTTAACAAATGTTTTGTTTTCATCCACACTGTTTCAGCTGGTTTTTGTCATCAGTCCCCACACTTCTTTCCCAGGTACACATTCACTCAAAGAACCTCTCACTCACTGCTTTTTGTCTTCTTCTGTGGTTTAGCTGCAGCCTCAGGAGATAAGCCCGCCTCCCACCGCCAATCTGGATCGGTCGAACGACAAAGTGTACGAGAACGTGACGGGATTGGTCAAAGCTGTGATCGAGATGTCAAGCAAGATCCAGCCGGCTCCACCCGAGGAATACGTGCCCATGGTCAAGGTAACAGAGGCACAAACGGCAGTTTGTTATTTCTCTGAAGTGGAGCTGCAGGCTTTGAGCTAAAAACTCAGCACAGTAGATCAAAGCAGCTCTGTGCAGTTTAATAACCGCTATGTCCTTGAGCACTGTAACGCACTGTTTCAGTTTAATTGGCCGGTGCAGCTTTCCAAGGACGGAATTTTGACACTTCTTCTACTCCTTCATGAATAATTTTTGCTTCATATATTAACCTGACTCTGCAGATAGCCTGAGCAGCTTTTCACCAAAGAGATTTAATAATTAGTTTTCCTGTGAGTCTTTTTGACAAAAATGCATTTCATTTTATTTCTCCAAAGGGTTTTTTCCACGTTGGTAGAAAGGGAAGAGCAGGGCAAACAGCCCATACAGCTAACATTGGAGTGTTCATCCCTAACTCCAATATGTTTAGCCAAGCTGCTAACCTTAAGAAGGGACTACAGCACTGTCTCATTTCTGTCTTCTCTATTAGAAATTTCAGATTTTAGACTATTTAAAACAAACTATGTGAATTATTGATACCACATGTAAGCTGTCCTGTTGTGAAAAAAAATGTGTGTTTCAGGATGTGGGTCTGGCACTGAGGACATTATTGGCCACAGTAGATGAGACTCTACCTCAACTTCCAGCCAGTACACACAGAGAGGTAGACACCGTTTTTACTAACAAGCATTCACTTTATGTTCTTAAACAGTTTAATGATTGTTAATAAATAACGTTAAAGCACATTATTGATCACACAGCTGCTCCAGCTTGTATTTTATGTTATACGGTTACGCTTTTCTTCACCAGATCGAGATGGCACAGAAGCTGCTGAACTCTGACTTGGCAGAACTGATTGCAAAGATGAAGTTAGCCCAACAATATGTGATGACCAGGTAGGTGCACAAACTAAAAGCATCAGAATATTCACTCACTTTGTTAGGTAAACCTTACCTACCTTAATTCTTCATGGCACAGATTCAACATAGTGCTGGAAACATTGCTCAGAGGTTTTGGTCCTTAGTGACATGACAGCATTACACAGCATTACACACAGCATTGTCAGCTGCACATCCATGATGTGAATCTGCTTTGCTACCACATTACAAAAGTGGAATAAGACTGTGATTGTGAACGTCATTTGAGTACAGCGAAGTCATTGTTATGTTCAAGAAACCAGTTTGAGATGATCTGAGCTTTGTGACTTGGTGCATTATGCTGCCACTTAGGTGGGCTGTGCCATTTAAACAATGCTCAGTTGGTACTAATGAGCCTAGGTGCACTGAGTTTCTGTCATGTGATTGGATGATTAGATATTTGCACTAACAAGTAGGTTGAACAGATGTACCTGATAAAGTGGCCAGTGAGTGTGTGTCATGCTCACGTTCTTGATGCTGTCACATGTCTGCACATATGATCATTAATACTGCACTAACTATTAAAACTCTGATCTTGCATATATTCTGTATTGATGCTCCAAGCCTCCAGCAGGACTACAAGAAGCAGATGTTGACGGCGGCTCATGCTCTTGCTGTTGATGCCAAGAACTTGCTGGATGTTATCGACCAATCCCGGCTCAAGATGATGGCCCAGTCCCGCCCACACTAGCCCCGTGTAGTCCGAGCTGACCAACAGGAGAGGGTGGCATCATCGTGACTTCTAAAGACTCCTGGGTTCCAGACGTCAGTCCTGATGTGTTGACGGAGGTGGCTGCTTTACAAATCAACAGCGAGAGCAGTGGCTCTGATAATCTGATAATGGTCCGTGATGAATCGTTAGAATTTTTTAATCCCGCTATAGCCGAGGTAATTAGTTCAACTGGGATTAAAATCTCCACCACTGTGACTTTCTGTATACGAGAACAGCGCAGAAACACTTCCTGAATCAGGGACTTGGCAGCTTCGCTCTCTTCAGAGTGGAATACAGTGACGAGAGGAGGAAGAAAAAAATCTACTCGTGATTTTTTTTTTTTTATTATTTTAAGCTGCAAATCTGGATTTGGGATGAGCCAGATTCTGCAGGTTAGAGTTTTAAATGGATTCAAAACTTCCGACAGAAACGCTATCATGAAAGCTGGTGAGATCGGGTGGATTGCAACCCGATCTGCAACATATCTGCATGAAACTTCACTGTGGGATCTTAGACTTCGGCCGCCCCCGTTTGCTGACGTTCCAATTCCTGAATGGGAGCTCCTTTCTCCAATCAAATATCTCTACATCGCCATACACATCACATGTTTGTTATGTTTTGTTTTTTGGGCTTTTTGGTTTCCTCCATCTCACCGTGTTTTATTTATAGACTCAAATTGCAGAGGAGGAGACAGAGGCAGGAACGTAAAAAAGCAGAATAGGCCTTGAGGACAGTCTAGTACCACTCTACTGCCTGAGGAAAGAAAACACTCTCCTCCCCTCTTCTCTCTATTTCACTCCCTTTTCCTTTCTTTCACCCATTCTGCTCCCCTACTCCCACAGTCTTCCTCAGCTCCTCTCTGAGCCACTTTTAAAGACTCCAAATGTGAAGAGTCCAGCTCTGTGCGGGTAATCACCGCAGACAGAAACCTCCCCTACTCGCACTCAGTTCAGTCTACTCTTTTTATCGATCAGCTCCATGTTTTTTGTGTTGTTTTGAGGAATCTTCGTCCTCTATACTGAAAAATGTTGAACTTTTAACCCCAGCAATTGACTGCTGTGTAAAAAAAAAAAAAATTGGAAAAAATGTGTTCAGCGTGAGTGGCAGGATGCTTCCGATTGGTTCACGAGGAAGAAGACAGTGACACGTCTTAGAGTGGTCACTAATTTTGTGAGTTTCGTGTCTCCTTTTTCTTTTTTTGTCTCCTCACATATAGTCCCAATATGAATCGTACGTTCACAATATAAGCTTACATTAACTGTCCGATCACCCACTAGTGACACTTGAAGTATTTTTCCAGGGGACATGAACAAACCTCATATCACATTTATGACTCCAACTCTCTTGTCAGGTGTAACACTTTAAAAATTCCCCCCCTCCCCGACTTAATAATAGTCCCCATGGAACCAAACACATGAAATGTGGAGCCACATGACTGGAACTTGTTTCTCAGACACAAAACACTGAACTGAAAATCACATTCGTCTTTGTTAATACTGACCCCATGTGGAGTGTCACATACTGCTATATGAAATATACTGGTGACTGTACTGGTATAGCATGATATACTGGTATAAAGAAGAGCATATTTGCACAGCACCAAAATAACACATCCTAAGTTGTTTCCTTTTTTGTTTCTTGTTTGTTTGTTTTTTATTATTATTATTGTTGTTATTTTTTAAACCCGTTTTATCCTGATGTGATTTCCATGTTTAGCCAGCAACAAAACTATCAGATCGATCAATCTGGGTGTTTTAGGGATAAAATAAATGTAAAACAGAGGAGAAAAACCCCCCAAACGAAACAATCTATTTTATTTCCTTGTTGTTGCGTAAATCTGCTCATGTTGGTATATTGTAAGCTATACTGGTGTGTATCACTGGTGAATTGTACAGAACTCGTACTAGTAAACACTGGTATTTATTTTGTCTTCTGGGCTAATTAAGCCATCTTGTCAAATAGGAGGAAACAAAAAAAACAATGGAATAAAAATAATTATGAAATGAAATAAGTCTGTCCACTTTGTAGTTGATTGGGATTTATTTAAAGTGCCTTTT